CATTTTACGCAGTTTAACCCCTGACATTTTAATTCATTTTGAGTTCACGCGTATTGGGCGTGTCTGTCGGCGGGAAAATCCTAATTCAAATGCTTTCTCACTGTCGATTTTTATTATTTCTGGTTTATTTGCCACATTATAAACAATACATTATTTTTGTTTTACTTCTAGTGTTGCATATTGTTCATTTATTTCCGTTGCATGTTTTCATTTGCCGTTCTATTTCCTGCCGTAGTTCGATCTGCCTGTTGTCAATTTTCGCGAATTTTCGGTTTTTTTGCCGGGGATCTCCTGGAAAATGCCCACCCCTTCTTTTTGGCAATTTTCCATGTTCAAGACCCTGGGCTTATACCCGGATAAATACGGTAGTAAAAGAATTTTGACTACTGTAAAAGGGTTAATTATTCACTGGGTTTTAATTTTGCTTATTTCACTGACTGGAAAATGTGCTAAATTAAAACCCAGTGAATATGTAAAATGGGGCATAGAACACATTATCTAAATGATAAAACCGTGAATTTAAAAACTCACTGAATATGCCTGAAATGCTAAATGAGTAAAATTTAAACCCAATGAAAATTAGACATTTTACAGTACCTTGACCCAAATTCTACTGTATTTACAAGTGCATTTCTTAGTCAAAATTCACATAAAAATTCTTTTCTCCATGACTAGGACACAGAATTTCCAGGAGTTGTTGCCAGACCAATTGGAGAATTCCGAAGCACTGCCGATTATCAGTACCAACTTCTACGGTGTAATGTGGATCTTTTAAAAATCATTCAGTTGGGTCTTACATTCTCTGATGAGAACGGTCACTACCCACCTGGTGCCTCAACATTCCAATTCAACTTCAAGTTTAATCTCACGTAAGTCACTTTTTGACAGTTGTGGGATGAGTCCTATAATGGCATTGTAATTTATGTCTCTTTATAGAGATTTTTGGTTAAAGTAACAATGTGTGAACCTTCGTATATCTTTTGATCAATATTCAGTTTAAAATGGCCACTAGATGCTATGAAGAAATCCATTGTTTCCATGCTTTTCTTATCTTTTCATTTTGAATTTAGTCCATCCTTAACCCTGCTTAAGTGAACTTTTGTCATCTTTGCAAAGAATAAAGCAAGAAAATTTTATGGTTATTATTTCTCATTGGGCAAAAATTAATAAAGAAATTATGGAAAAAATACAGAAAAATGTGCAAAGTATTGCACAAAATCAAAGGTGTTCAAAGGATCATTAATAAAACAGGTTAACAAATTGTTAAATGCCATGTTTTTGTGTTGCCTGATATGATGCAATAAACATGGGTAAGGTACCAATAGTTTCACCATGTTCATTCTCCTAATTAACGTACGTTTGGTTTTGCAGAGAAGACATGTATGCACAAGATTCAATAGACCTTTTACAAAACTCAGGTCTGCAGTTTAAGAAACACGAAGAGGACGGGATTGATGTGACGACATTTGCGGAAATGTTAATGACATCAGGTGTTGTTCTGTGTGATAATGTTAAATGGCTGTCGTTTCACAGGTAAGTTTGTAATCATAAATACGCCCTGAGAACCTCCATGCTTTTGTGTGCAAGGTGTAGAAATTACAGCAATAATTAGTTGTTGGTGTTTTGCCAATGAAGCACATATACAACATTTTATAAAGCTTTTCATTCATTGAAGTGGTTGGGTTTTATTGTGTAGGCCTCATCTCACAATTCAGCCACACTACTACCATTGCAGAAAAGGTGCAAAATTGACTGTTGGTGATACTTTTCTTGGCGAGGCTTAATGTATGTCAGCGTCCTCGTTGTCAGTATTGTTATCATCAATATTGTGTTTTTTTTGAGGTCACAGTAACTTAATTTGAATTCATTTGTTTAAAAATATTTATTTGGGATTCTGCTGTGAGTTAAACAGTTTTAGCCATGTTGACGTTTTTCTTAACTAATTAGTGACTTGTTCAATCATCCTGTCTTATAGTAAATTTAAATATGCTACTCATCATGTAACATTAATGCTTAGTTAACATGTGTTTTCCGGGTTTTTCAATTTTCTTTCCTGAAAACCATTTCATCAGAATATTTAATATTTTGACTTTTTCCTGTGGTGTCAAAAGTGATTTTGTCTAATCCAAAATAAATTTTCCATTGATAACATCAGAAGGGTTAGCAGAAGCTCTGTATATAGAATCCTACCACTAGTTGAAACGTATGAAGTTAGCTAGGAGATGATAAATACATATTTTTTACATGACTGCCATAAGAGTAACATACATTTCATTTTATTCCAGTGGTTATGATTTTGGGTATCTTCTAAAATGCTTGACCAACAGCAATTTGCCAGCAGACGAGTCAGAGTTTTTTGACCTTCTGAGGCTTTATTTCCCGAGTATATACGATATTAAATACCTAATGAAAAGCTGTAAAAACCTTAAAGGTGGCCTTCAAGAAGTCGCAGAACAACTTTCGGTGGGTAGAACTATTAGACTTGGCATTTACAGTTTTAGAATACTATAGTGTATTTTACCACAGTCTACATACAAAATAACCTTATAGACCGATTGCTAGTAGCATAGTGGTTGTTGCAAGGGCTCGTGATTAGTAGACCTGGATTTAAATCCTACCTGGGGTTGAACCCTGAGTGAGTGTGCCACAGAATCAATAGGGAGGCCAAGTCACTGATAGAGATTCGTTAACGACTTTGTGGGTAGATAAAGGCCATATGTTATTGGATTTATTTATCAAGTACTGTACTGAAAATATTTATGAATAATTTATCTTGGCCTCACTCTGAATCCCCAGAGACGTACATAATCGTTTGAATTTGAGTGAGGTACGTTACTCAGTTCTAACTACAAGATATGCATGTTCGTTTCAGCTGACAAGGATTGGGCCGCAGCATCAAGCAGGAAGTGACAGTTTACTCACCAGTGCTTCATTCTTTAAAATGAGAGAAGTAAGTTGATTAACATTTCCTGTCTGTATAGTCTTGCAATGAAATCAAACCTTTTACAAAGCACCAAGGGTGCCGAGTGGCTTCACAGAATGTTATTCATTGTACTGAGTCAATGTAGATCTGCAACATTTGCAACGTATGGATACACCAACTACGAATCATCTATGAACAAGGACCATAAAATGGTGGATAATTTTGACGTATTTGGATAAAAATACCATGATGTGACACAGAAATCTGTGCAATTTTCACTTGGTTTAGAGGATTACAAATAAGGAATGGATTGGATTGAATTTTAATGGTCAATACAACAAATCATTTCTACCTGACAAGTTTCTTACACTGTAGGTTATCATAGATTGAACTTGTATAATGCTGCAACATGTAATCTTTCATAATTTGTTTCTCTCAGATGTTTTTTGAAGACAACGTAGACGATGCCAAGTATTGCGGTCACCTTTACGGCCTTGGGTCATCCTACGTCCAAAACGGTACATCACATGCCGATGAAAACTCCACCAATTTAACGACATAGCAAAGGCATTTACTCGTTTATGTTTTGTTTATTTCAGCACCCCCCTGGGAATACATGAAATAGGTGCTTTGGGTAGTTTTATTTCTTGTTTCCAAATTCTTAGTGATCTGGAGACAAACTGTGTATTATACTATATAGGGTTGCTCGCTGTGGTCTTTTATATTTTGTAGAAAAGAAAAAGTAAGAAAAAAAATGTGAAAATAGGAAATAACTCGGACCCTTCATCAACTGAGGCAGATGCTTTCCAGCCATCCTTGGTGTTTTTATTTTATTGTTAACCTGTGTTCGTATCCCGATAACGCCAATATTACATTCCAGAGCAGGCTTACTCAATGTTTTTTTTTAATTTCACGCTTAGCGCATTTTCTTCTAAACCCCTTTAAAAGTCAAAACTTGTCTGGAGTGAAAACTCCTATTTGTCAAGAATATAATTTTTCTGTGCCAATGAACAAACATAAACTTAGCTACAACTGCCATCTTCTACTAAAACTGGCTGACAACTGATGTTTTCAAAACGATCATATTTAGTGTTACAAGGCATATTATTAATCACCAGTAGAGGGCGACAAAAGTGTTCATTTTGTTGACATGTCTAAGCTTCTTATGATTGGCATGGTTGAAGATAAGTATTCTTACGCAACCACTAAGTTGTCATTGTCTTGCCATGCCTAATTTAGGGAGGAATTCCTGTTTTAACCAATGGCTTCATTTTGGATCCCCGATTAAATTATAATACTTTTAAAAAAAAAGCGAATGGGAAAAAGAAATTTCAAATTGAGTGAACTGTCATGTTTGTGCTGTGCTGTGTTGTGGTTTATCAACATCTGAAGAGTATGTCAAATTAAATTATTCATGTCAATTAATTTTGTAAAGATTCTACTGAAACTGGACAAAAAATGAATTGGTCTTAATAATGTAGGATTCACTCTTTTTGTACATTTTTTTTTATCTTTGCGGCTGATCTTTTACTTTACTGGCTGTATGTGCAATCTATTCATTTTGCTTCAGTGGTGCATGTGGAGATCAATTACCACAAAACAATTCGAATTAAGTCTGTATCGGGTATAATCGTCATTTACATAACCCAGTACTACCTTTAAAAAATAATACCATGTTGAAAAAACGATTACGCAGTTGTTTCATAAAAAAAAACTAAGCATTTCTCACTGCTACCACTGGAGGGCTAAATGATTGTGTAAATATCTGTTTTATAGCCTGCTTTGGTTTAACAATCCTTGAACTTTGCCCTATACATGTCTTGGGTCATCAGTTTTTTTCTTATTGACATAGTGCATTAGCATATCAAAACAACAGACTCCTATTTATAAAATCGAACATTACATCACATTTATGAAACTATTTTGTAAAGTTTGTGCAAAAACACCTGTGAAACATACAATGGTTTTAGCATTCATGGATGTATTTACTTCATAAACCTTTTCATCACCGTGCTTTAGAATTCTCCCGATTATCACCTATTGGGAGATTCCATTCACCAGGGAAATGGGGGTGAAGGAGTTGATGGACACTTTGTATGTTTTTTTTGAGATGCAAAATGCAGTATGGATTGTTTTTTTTTTAAATAGAAAGACATTTCAGTTGAGATGGTTTTCACGTTGACAGACCAAATTGTAATAACTTACAATTAATTATACCATCCAACAGGAAAGGCAAAGCAATATTATCATTGTGGATAAGGTTTTTAAAAAAAAAAAAAGAAATATACCGTTAAAATTTACAGGAGCATTCTGTGGGGGTAAAAACAAATTCATAAAGTACATCGTTTTGATTGTAAACAGTTTCATAAAAAAAAAAAGACCACATTGACTGCGAATGCCCTTTATAGCTGTAGCTTTTTATTCTCTTGTAGTTCTGTATAACTTTAAGTTGTCTTGTGTTTTATGCTTGTAAATACACACACTCTACTTATCAACGTTGCATATCTAGTTGTCTTAGTCTCTTTATGTATGCGTGTGGATTTTGGAATGTGCATGGGTTGCTGCATCTAATGCAAATGTCACATATCTCTGTATCTTTATCTCGTACATTACATGCATCATGTGCGTAAATTGCGTAACACCAAAGTGTGATGCAGAGCAGGGCAAATGAAAAACCCATATCCCCACAGTGTAACGTCACGTAATGTCTAAATTTTTCATCGTACACGCTATCCGAATGTTGCCTGGAGCCTCCAGGGTTATACACAGTCTGATAACTACGGATTGTGATAACAATGGTTAGTTTTCAAAATTAAATTAGTACCTTATTCAGTCCCTTCAAAAAATCGGTTGAATTTTTAAAAATCCTAACGAATTTGAGTAAGCATCATGGCATGCAATGTAGGTATTTAAGGGAAATGGGAACACCGTGGCACCAACAAAAATAACATACAAGGTGCATGCAATGATATTAAGTGTTATTTCAGCAAATAGTTCCACTGTCAACACATGTCATGTCACACTGTGGAAATATACATGTGATAAATATATGATCCCACAATATTTTCTCTTAAAGCGGGGGAGTCATCACCTGCGCATGCGTCAGATGGCCATAGCGTGTCATTGTTTACAAACAAGGGTCTACCCATGAACCTTTGCGTTTTAGCGTGTGTTATTGTCACTTGGGACTCAATTTCCCCGCGCATGCGCAGGTGACGACCCTCTCGCTTTGAGTCGACGTTAGCAGACACTGCCATAATAGCATAATCACTTGAGTCTGTTTACGTCAAACTATCATGGGATTATATATACAAGTATATGTGTATACACATGTTTCAGAAATTGTGTATGCATTTTGGAATCCTGTGTCTGGTGTCAACATATGAAAGCTGGAATATAACATAAAAGTGTCAAAATAGGAAACACACCATGAAACTTTCAAAGTGCATAGGTTTTTGATGGAAGACTCAATTCTGTTTGTTTTTTCAAAGCCAGCGCTCAGAGTATTTATATTGAAATTATTTTAAAACCAGTGAATCGCATATCAGTTTCTCTCAGCATAAACTATTGAGGGCAGCATTAGAAGAAATATTATAGCATGAACTTGGAATCAGGTCATGTGAAAAGCTTTTTAAAAGATGGTGCAATCTCACAGCAGTGACAGTAGATATGAAATTCTACTTGTATCCAATAGATTTTATCAATATGCAAATTGATTGAAAGGGTCATCGTAATGTAAAGTTGTATGCATTGAATTATTCATGAGCAAGTGACCAAGCCTACAATACATGTACATCTTTTCTGTAAATTAACATGGGTTCAGTACTGTGCACTGGCAATGCAACTGCTAACTGGATCTTCAACTGTGGGGTTATACCTGTAAACCCACACTTTCTGGTGGCGTTTTTAATGCATATAATTCTTAGATAACTAAATAAGTCCCCGGCACCTGATTGTTTCTTGGAAAAGATTAAAAAATAGAAATATGCATGTTAGCTAGGTGATGAGGAATAGCATTATGTTCGTGATTATATTTCACAAAGAAGGACAGCACTTTTAACATGTCTATATATTGTTTATTCCCAGAATTACTTTTGAATACAAATACTCCTGTAGTCCAAATAGTAAGTCAACAAATGTTGTTTTGTTCAAAAGGAATTACTGTTCATGGTGTTTACCACAGTCACAGTTGATGCAGACACAACAAACAATACAGCTAGCATGTCCATGACAAGCGTCTCTATACAGTCGGCACGTACCTGACACAGTCACAGTATTCTGTCTCCAGTTCAATTGTCTTTGTACCCCCATATCACCATTATAAATAATTCACTTTTAAAAACATATTTTATTTCGCATACAATTTAAGAAATTGTTTACAAAAATGGTGTAAAGGGAATCCGACGACATTGTAGTAGTCTCCTCGTATTTCTTGTACTAGCGTTCCACCGAGTGCCTGGATTCCATAACCTCCAGCTTTGTCCCTGAAATCATCACATGAAACAGGTTAAATAAATTTTTTCAACATACAGTTATCTCAATAAAGAAATGAAATGGAAATTTAATTTGTATGGACATGTAATTATAATGAAAATACGATGAAGATTGCAATTGAAGTCTTGCAAATCACAAAACAAATATTATACTTGTGCATTCTCATTCACCACCTTTCATTGATGATACTGTAACGCATATGTGTCCTATTGTCATGGCTTGTATGTAGAATGAATAAAATCCAGGAATTCCCAATCCCTGATTCTCAATAATGAAACATAAGTGTTGTGGAATTTACTTACATAGGTTCTCCAGTCTCTATATAGCCATGGATTATCTCTGGTGTTAATTCACCGAATACAACATCAGTGGCTTCATGGAACTGAAGAATGTCAAATGGGTGCTTTGACTGTTTGTCTGTATCAATATAAAGTATATAATTATATACCTAAGAAACCACACATGAGAGTAATATGTGAGATAAAGTTATGGGGGAGTGAACCTTTATGTGATATCAGTGTTTCCTCTCATTGGCAGTAGTGCTAAATTTTGTTCAATGTCAAAGCTTACACTTGATTCTTATATCACACAAGATCTTTCGTTACATTTAACCAATATGTTAGGGATTAACACAGTCTGCAGAATGCTTTATTTTCGCTTGGAATGTATTTTCGCCATTTTCGTTGAAGGGATGATTCCGTGAAAATAAAATCCAGCAAATATACTTTTTTTCCTATATTTCACATTAAACTCATCAAAAATCAGTGAAAATAAATTCCATACAAAACAAGTCATTGTCAATGACACGTCCCCGTTCCGTTCATATTTGAGTAACATATACATTCAAAGCAGATCATGACCGAAATGCACCTGCATATGTACAACACATTGTACTAAATCTGAACAAAATCCATGCATGCATGACTGAGATCCGGTTCTGGAATTGTGAAAATACGTGATTTTAATGCATTTTCGGCCTTAAAATGGCCATTCAGCTATTGCTAAGCGGATCATGAAAAAAATGCATGTGCATATGTCCCATATAATGTGTGATGTATGAGTGAAGTTTGAACATAATCGGTCCATGCATGTTCGAGATACAGGTGATCACGGACGCACGGACGCACGGACGGACGCACACAGGGCAAAACATAAGTCCCCGTTTTCGGACTCCGTCCGAACGGGGACTAATAAGCAAAAATAAAGTATTCCACAGTACAATAGACCATTTTCTGTTCACCTTGAGATCCCGTGGTTTTCGTGAAATTGAACATCAAAACCGGATAAACAATGATCATAGCATCACAGTGACATAAAAACATTGTGTGGGATTTGACTAATGTGAAAGTTTTTTTTTGCTATTTTCACACATAATAATGTGCTATACACATTTGATGATGATCAATTTTGACGAAGTAAGGATATCTAAATGCAATATTCCCCTCTAAAAGATCAACATTTCAACATTGCTATAAAAAAAACCTATAAAAAATGGAAATCCAAATGAAATTGTTCAATTTTTGTAATCAGTTCCCGCATTTCACACAATATGCGTGATCTCGCAGTGAGCGGAAAATCACCTATGGTGGGACATTGACATGACACGACACAAGAAATCGTATTAGGGAAGCAGGGCATTATGTACATTAAGCCCTGCAATAGAGTATTCTGATTGGCTGAGAAGAATTAGGTAGGTTTTTAAAAAGATACTGCAGAGGGTTATAAATCAGATAAATACCTGTCTTTGTAAGTATAACCATTCCCGTATATACAGTATGACTTTTACCGCTAAGAGATGATAACATTGTGAAAGCATCATTTTTATCTTGGGGTTTCTCAAGTATTTTTTCACCCAATGACTGCAATAAATATTATAAAGTCCTATTTTTAATTATATCCTTATTACCAGCAACATCAATAATTGAGAGTTCTATGTAACAGTGGATAAGATAAAAACTAAAAAGACTATACATGCAAATCGCATTTATCTTTCAAATTATACTGTAAAATTCATTTATTGAGAAAAGCTAGGAAATCCAAGTTTGATAGTGGAAAAGTGCTACAATCCTTACATCCACTCGACCTAAGTAGTTGACATTTCACATTGTGTACTTATAACAATCTCCACACAGAATTGATCCAATTTTTAGGTTGTAATATTGTTGTAAAGTATAGTACATGTAATAGGATTGTAACATATTTCCTTTGCTTTCAATTATTTGCATTCATTAAACTACTTGCATTAAAAACAAAAATTTAAAAACAAAAATTCAATATTGCAAGGCCGTAGGAACCATACCGGCCATACCGGCTATGGCCGGACCACTTCTGCACGTCCCTCCACTTCGGCCCACGTCAACATACGCCTCTGGTCTACGGCCCTCAATGGATGGCCAGGCCAACTAATTTTTGCTTCCTACCGCCTTGCATTGCAGCATGTATTGGCGGAAATGGTGAAATTTATATCTCCCCCCTTAACTAATTACCCTTTTGAGTGCCACTTTGAATTTTTGGCAATTCAACAAAATCATTTTGTACAGCCTGTACACCTCCACATGGAATGTTGACAACACTTTTGTTCAAAAACCAAAAGCAATATATCTGAATCTGTCTTTATAGTCCAAAATGATGATGAATTTTAGTCACAATTTTACAAAATGTGAAAAACTGAAATTTAGACGGAAAAAATATCTGACACTCAAATGATCGAATTTATCACAATCAGTAATATACTTACAACAACAGTGTCTGCTCCTATGATAATATCTGGACATCCTGGCTGACAAAAACAAATGGCATATTCATCACAATTTGATTGACAGGTAAAACTTCTCATTCACAGTAATTTCTTGTATAATTAATTAAATCAACATAGTTGTCACATTGCTTCATGTTCGATATGACTCACATGCAAAAGTGTCACTTTAAAACATTCACTTACTCCTAGACTGGCAAAGTCGGGACTTTTTTTTTGTTTTAAAAAAAGATATAATTAATTGTTTTTCAGTCCTTTTAGTGTGATCGCGAGAACTAACCTGACCACTAAAGGGATTTCTTTCACAGTCATGCTAGTTTTCGCAATCACGTTAAAAAGGCTAAATTGACAATTATATTTTTTTTGTTAACCAAAAAAGAAGTCCCGACTTTGCCAGTCTAACTTACTCCCTGTAGTCGATTTGCTACTTCCAGCGTCTTTTCTTTTGCTGTTTCATTTACATAATCCACTGGAGATGAAAACAATGACTTGTCAAAATTTTCTTCAAATTTAGAAGTAATTACTTCAAATTTCAAACCCTACAAGATAATTAAATGATAATATGACAGTTAGAATGTATTTTCATTACATTATAGGGTTGACGATGAGAAGCCCTGTGAAGCGGAGAGATTGACCAATTTATTCTTTGTTTTTGTTTTCTTTACTCAGTTTTACGCTACTTATTCATCATGATATTGCTGTAAAGTAATTTTTTTTTTCGAGTTTCTCTATTAAATGTTTGTATATATATATTTTTTACTGTAAAATGTGTGTATATTTGTTTGTTTTAAAATGTCACTGTACAGATTCGTTGTTTGTTTGGAAAATTCCACATCCCTGTCACAGATTCTAATGGTTACCCACTTAGGCACAGCAAAATAATCTGCAAAACAAAGTGCAATTTGAGTTGTCTGTCTATAGTCATCTACGCCGCCGCCGCCACCAATACCGCAACAACAATAACAATCAACAACTAGAACAAAAACACACACAAACTGTCGACTAAAGCTTCCAATTATGATTTCAATTCAACAATTACCGTACAGATTACACATACGAGAGGCATAATTAGATTTGTGGCAAGAATTCCTAAAGGCTTCCTAAGCCTAACAATCCACCCCCAATATAATACAATATGCCCCTCCAAGTAACTTGTATAAGACCAGAAGATGGGGGTCCCGGATGGGGGTACCAGGTATATACAATTGGCATGGGGCGTGGTCACCAGAGGGGCGGGGTTAGGATTAGATTAATGCGTGAACTCTAAATTGTTACTAAGATCGACACTTACAATATTTCGGAGTATTTCCTGTCTCCTTGGGGAACCACTAGCCAGCACTATTCTTTGATTGTGTAACTTGTGAAGAATTGGCTGCAACATTTTCAACAAATTCCCGCTACTACATGTAAAAGTTCGATTCGAAGTTTAAGAGCAGACTAGTTGAGTGTTAGTTCTCTAAAAATTTAAAGTTGTTCCGATAAAATTTGACGAGAATGGGGACACACTGTAAGAATACGTTATGGTCGATCAGCTAAGCTGCAACTACCATGCTTCCGAAAGAACACAACGAGTCTGACGTCGGAAGGGATTCCCCCAAAGTTCATGACCTCACCTTGTATGAAAATATTACTTTTTTAAAATTGGTTTGCCTAATAATGCATAATTATTTGATATACACAAAATGCACACATATAAAGATGTTTCTATATATTATTATTATTATTTAAACTTTGAAGCGAGATGTGTAACCGGTGACCATGACGTCACGATCAGTGTCCTCGAAACCGACATATCGGTGTGATGCCGCCATAACGCGTTGTGCAGACTGCATGTTTCACCCATCTAGTTATTTGCACGATTTTATCTTCAAATTCGGAAGTTAGATGTCACTACTATTACTGCGATCTCCGGGTTGTGGCATTACATGTATGGAACTTCTATCGTAACTCGTGTTTATGCACGATATGACTCGTACAGTCGTTGACCGATATCGACCGCGTAAGAGTGACCCCCGAATGACCTAACATTTTCTCACCGTGATATCGTCTGCATACTCGCCATACGATGCCATTTGCTGGTGCTGACATATAGCTACAAAATGAGTAAATTAGATGTTTTATATCGAAGTTTAGTTCTGTCCAAGTTTTTCACCCGTGGTTGGGGCAAGCCAGAGAGTCTGAAACGGTTTGTATTATTGTTATTCATTCAGTTGAATATAAAATATTGTTAATAATTTATAACCCTGTTCGATCTCATTTCGGAAAAAGTTCCATTTGTACAGACGGAATTCTCTTACAAAAAAGGAATACTTTCCTCATAGATCTCCATAGATCAAGTTTATAGCACTGCCTTTTATGGTACAGCTGTTTTAAACAATAATAAAAAGATAAGTGTCTGTATTAAATTCAAAAGTTACCATTTCATACTTATTGTTCAGTTTCAGAATGTAGTGATCGATCCGCGTATACTATTTCGCGAGAATTATGTGCTATGGGACAGGCCAAATATGGGTGTTTGTGCCTGAGCACAGGAGAACTGTTACCTGATATTACAAGGTCACAAACATTCATATTTTCCCTATAATAAAGATGCACATGTCTTGAATAACTAAAATTAGATTGAAATGGCCCATGTGGTTCTAAACACCAACTTTACTTTGATTTTCCATCCACTATGAGATCCCATGTTATGCGTGAATCTATACTCTTTCAATGACGGGAAATTTTGATGAAGTACGGGTACTACACCATATTCTTATCTGAAAGATCAGCAATTTTGACATTGAACTATAAAAAAAGAAATTAAAAGTCCATTCATTTGATTTTTTCGGAAATCACCTTTCGCGCAATCACTTATTAAAAATGATCTACATTAGATATTTATAGCTGTAACTTCTGTATGTTACAATTGTTATTGCTACAATATAAGAATCATGTAAATTTCTGGTTTCACTTTCACCCCTGTAAATAAATGTTTAGAAAGTACTAGACAAATACACCCTATTTTATTTGTTAATTAATTTCTGGCTTAGCAAAAACATAATACTTTTTCAATGTATCCCAAAATAGATAGAGGGATAACCAAAGTTCAAGTTTTGAAGAAATTATAGGTTGAATTATCATAGTCACTTGTTAAAAACTTGAACTGCACAAAATTACATTTTAAAAAGCCGATATAAATAACAGTATGACAAATCATGAATTTTTTTTCGTTATTTGCTCTTTGTCTTGGTAACCAAGGTCTGCAAGGTCTTTGCAGCATTTGGGAATGGTTGTCAGTTTTGTCATATAAACCATGCATATTCAGGTCTTCATCAAACGTTTAGTTTGAAACATTTGAAGTTAAATATTTTCCATTCATTGGCCAGTTTAGCTGCTGAAAATTACTCATAACCCTGTAATCTTTAGATGATAACAAATGGTTAACTTAATTTTTAAATCGTAGACCAATTTTTCAGCTTTTTATTAAAATGCTGATTTACTTGGATATTGTATATGCAACTTGTATCCAGAACCCACTAGAAATAGCTACGTGATCTGAAATGTACATCTCCAATAGAAGCGAATTTATTGTATACTATTTTGACTATAGACACACCCGTGTCATTTACATAAGTGCATGTGCTACTAATAGGGCAAATACTTATCATAGAACTCTTATCAAACATAATACAGTGTGTTTACTTTCAGTGATGCTTTGATCCCTCGTCTATCATTCAGTCATCATGAGATATTCACAACATCATTGTATAATATCTTATTTTTCATTTACAGAATATTTGAGTTTCAGAAAGTTGTTGGCAGTAGAGAAACTTGTCAGCATCTTGTTGACAAAGACTATCCTATCTATGTTGATAAGGTGAGTATCAGTGTCGTCGCAGGTTGTTAAAGATGAATTTAAAGTAAGCAATGTCACACCCATGTACCACCCAAACAACATTGAAATGTGGTAATGCTTACGTAGGAACTATAATTGTACTTTGACCTAACTTGATATGGAGCAAAATTAGTTGGTCTCCAAATTGATCTTCACTTCTGTTAATTGTTGGTTTCTGATGAAGTGATGGTTTGTTTTGAAGTATAAACTGGTGTATCAGAAGGGAGGTTTATACTTTATATTGTGGGACATCTCAGATTTGTGTTTTTGTGATGCTGAATACCACTCACTGTCAACTTTGGCATGAGTGGGTTAATTATTACAAGACTATCGTAATGTAACTTCAGTGAGCAATAATGTATTTGATGTGTTGCACTGCTTAAGAACAAATTACTTTTGTGCATTATAATACACATGTACCTATTTTCAGTACTGTCGCTGCTATGTAGTGGAAGGCAAGGTTTGAGTCAAAAATCGCTCAGCATATTTTTTATGTTAATATACAGAAATGGAGATAAATTTTTGTAATTCTTGTTTTTTAAATACTGGGTACTACAACAAAAAGAAATTATTGATAAAACTGTTAAAACATGCTGGAAAAGTTGTTTGTATATTTTTACCATACTTGATTGTGCAAACTCGAGATTTATATTTCTGTATCTCGGAACTGTCCTTTCAACGACAAATGTCGAAAATGTCACCCTTGTTTATCAAAATACATTCAGAATTTTTACAAGTGGCGAATGTGCTGAACAATTATTTATTTGGGTCTGATCTGATGAAGTGATAACCTGAAATGCAAACAGTGCCATTGACGATCCGCTCCGCTCCGCTAGGATTGCCTTTAAAATCACTTTTGTCTGTGTCTGTGTGTGTTTGGATTGCTATATGTTGCGAGGACAAAAATACAGATATATACCTACTTCCGAGGACATACACACCTTCCGAGGACCTTTTTCATAGTCCTCGGAAAACATAA